CAGATGGAGTTCCCAGGCAATCCATGAGGGGGGGGGGAGGGGAGGAGAAGGAGGAGGAGAGGCGACGACGAGGAACCCCATGACAAGTTTCCCAAGCAAGAGATCACATATAGCGCGCCAGGGCGGGAGGGCAAGGAGGAGCGCGACGAGTCTTTAGGAAATTCGTCGGCTGCCTCCGAACATCCATAGGATTTCTTTGGAAATTGCACAGGGCTCCTGAAAGTTTTCATAAACTGCCTTACGACATCCATCAACATCGTTAAGCAATCCATCGGGTTCCACATGAAATCCATCGGATCCCCGTGGAGATCCATCGGGATCTTTGGGGCATATATAGGAATCCTTATGACATCCATGGGTTCCATCGGAGTCCTTTGGGTCTCTATTCGGTTCCTTGCGCAATTCTTAGGACGTATGTTGGCAATATGTAGAACCCTTTGGATATCCATGGGATCCCTGAAGGATGCACTCGGAATCCTTAGGACGTCTTCAGGACCCCTTCGGACATCAATTGGATATCCTAGGACATCGATCGGACCCTGTGGAAGAAAAGGAGCTTCCGGAGGATATCCATCGGATTCCTTAGGCCACCCTGAGGATTCCTGAGGCAACCTATCGGACGTAGGAAACCCGTTGGAGTACCGCGGAAATCCATCATAATCCGTAGGACATCCTTCGGGTACCTTTTTGGAAACAAATAAGATTCCATAGGAAATTCAAACCGGATCCCTTCGAACATGCATGCGGTTCCTTCGGCAATCTATAGGAATCCCCAGGGCATCCATAGGTTTCCTGAGAAAATCCAAGGATCCCTTAGGACACCCATAGGCTCCCTTAGGAAGCCATCCCATTCCCTTCTGGAGCTCCATATGATTCTTTAGTCAACATTGGAACCCAGAGGAGATCCACCAGATTCCTTCAGTAATCCACCAGATTCCTAGGTGAATCAATAGGGCCCCTCGCGTGGGACCCTTTCTTCAAATCCATCGGTTTCACGATGAAACCACCAATATTCTTTTTGTAACCCATCAGATTTCTAAGGACAGCCATCAGACCCCTTCGGGCATCCATCGGATTCTTTTGGGCGACCATGGGACGCCGTGGGAAACCGATAAGATGCCTCGAGAGATCCATCGGACGCATTCGGAAATCAATCAGATTCCTTCGGGCATCAATCGGATTTCTTTGGAGGCCTACAGGTATCTCAAAGGAACCCTTGACATGTATTACGACACCCATGCGATTCCTTTGGAAATCCATCGAGCCCCGTAGGGGCCCCATGGCATTCCTTCGAACAGTCATCGGATTCCTTGGGGAATCCCCAGGGTGTCCTTAGGAACTCCTTAGGAACCCTTTGTGGGACTCAAACGGATTCCCTCGGGGATCCATAGGAATCCTTCGGGGATCCATTGGATTCTTCCAGCAATCCGTAAGATTCCTGAGACATCCATCCGTTTCTTTTGGTTATCCATAGGGTTCCTTGGGATGCATATGGATTCTTGAGGCAATCCATGTGCTTCCTTAGAGAATCCTTCGGGTCCCATGGGAACTCCATCGGATTCCGTTGGCAATCCATGCCATTCGTTTGGAAATGTGTAGGAATTCTGTTGACGGCAATTTGACAATTCTAAAGAATCAGATCTCACGTGTAAACATATACACACACACATTGAACGCGTCGATAAACACATGCCATCTTCCAAATCCAATCGGTCACCGTTAACGGCTCATTTTAGATTCCAGAGGAACATGACAAGTTTCCATTGTGGACAACGCAAAATTCGCAACGCGCGCGTCCGCGCGCGCGCGCCCGATCGGCTAACGCACGCGCGGGCGTGTCACTTGAAATCCCGTTGGTCACCGCTACGGGGTCGTATTCGTTTCCAAGCCAACATGGAGATTTGAGATTTGTCCATTGAAGAATACAGAACTCGCCACGCGCGCGTTCTCGCGCGCGCGTGGCGATATCTGTATGACCCACATTGGACATGTCGTCATGTTGTCCTGGGAACTAAAGTTGGCTCTGAGCTCTGACCGGTTGGGTTTTGTAATCAACGTGCATGCTTCGGATGTGTTCCAGCATATCTTGGACTTGTATGGATGTCCCAAGGGATCCTACGGGTTTCCTAATATCATATTCTTGCCCAGGGGTTCTGTTAGGTATCCCAAGGCATTTCATGGGTTTCGTGGTGACTCCTATGGGTGTTCTAAGGGGTCCGTCGATTGCCTACGGAACCCGTTTGGAAGTCCTCAGGGCCTTTTTGGTTGTCCGAAGGAATCTTTTGGATTTCTGATAATTTCCCATGGTTTCCCGGAAGAATCACATGGCTTTCAGGAGGATTCCCATGGCCATGGGTGTCCGAACGATTCTTATGGATTCCCTAATAGGAACCCGATGGGTTGCGTAAAGAATTCTATGGGTTGCCCAAGGAACCTTGTGGAGTTCCTAAGGGCCCGTATGGTGGTCCTAAGGAATCAGATGGATGTCAGGAGGGTGCCTATGGATGCCCTAAGGAATTGCACGCACGTCCGAATGATGCCTGTAGGTTTCCGAAGGCATCCCATTGATGTGCTAAGGGATCGCATGAATTGCCCACGGGTCCCCTACGGAATTCGTAAGGCATCCAATGGATTTCTTGTTAAATGTGTTTATGGATTTCCGGAAGAATCCCACCGATTGCCGATGGAATCTTGCGGATTTCCATAAACATCCAATGGTTCTCCTAAGGAATCCGATGGCTGCTCGCAGGAATCTTATAGATTCCCCCCGGAAGCGCATGGATGTCCGAAAGAATCTTATGGATTCCCAGGGGAACCAGTTGGATGTCTTCAAACATCCCATAGATTTGTTCAGAGTCTTATGGGGCCCCTAAGGAATCCAATGGGTGCCCAAGGAACCCGATGGCTTTGCGGGAGGCCTTTATGGATGTGCCAAGGACTCCTACGGATGTCCTATGGGATCCTATAGCTGTCCTGAGGAATCCTACGGATTGCCGAAGGAAGCTCATGGATTCCCTAAGGGAACGCATGGCTGTCATAAGAATCCTCACGAATCCATGGTTCTTCAGGACATCCATGGGATGCTTCCAGAAAGGCTCTGGATTCCTGATGACATGCGTAAGATTGTTTAGGACATCCACACGGCCCCTCAGGAAAGCAATGGGATACCTGAGGACATCCATCGGACGCCTTAGGGGATCCATCGGATGCCTGTTGAAATCTATAAGATTCCTTCGGACATCCACAAGATCCCCGACGACATCCATAGGACTCCTTAGGACAGCCATCGGAACCCTGATTCCATATACATATATATATAGGGTTTGCTTTATTTGTTTTAGAAGATGTTTTGTTGATTATTCCACTTAATGTTTGCATGTTTTTTTGTATAAGTAAACTCAAGAACGGACATCCACAGGGTCTGTGAGGAAATCCATCGGCATCCTCAGGATATCCATCGAGGTCTGGGGAAGTCCATCAGAATCCTCAGGAAATCCATCGGAATCCGAGGGACATTAATAGGATGTCTTAGGACATCGGAGTCATAGCTACTCTACTCAAGAAGATAGCTTCTTCGATTCGCAAATTTCATCCGCGATCATCAAGTTCGGCCTTGCCGCCCCTCTTCCCCGACCAAAGCTATATTGGCCGTGGACAGTGATCACTCGGTGGTTAACGGGGGGGGATATCGGTGATTATCGGGCGGGTCGGTGATGCCCGGCTGGCGCTGGAGCTGGTGAGTTTGTCGATCTCTGTACGGTTGGGAGTTTCTAGATATAGCCAAGACGTTGAAATAAGGAACGCCTCGGGTGCGGAAGGGGTTCGCTGTTCCTTAAGCTCTTCCATGGCTCCTCCTCAATCTCTCCTCGTGCACCTAGGCGCTTCTGGGGCAAAGAAGGTTCCTTATTTTGCGTTCCTTCTGATAGTACCTCGACTGTGGTGTGTCGCTCCGCCAGTTCGGGCCCACCGCGCCTCGGTGCGACACGTTGTCCACTTCCGGTCCCGATGCGTCCACGTGCCGAGTTGTTTCAAGCCTTCCTCTCTCCGCGGCGCAGAGCGACACGCCATCTGTCCTTATCTTAGTGGGCCCTTGAAGCGACAGGGCCGCTTTGGTACCGGTTCCGTTTTGCTGTTTTTTTGCCGGTTCCGACGCCGTTTTTTTACCGGTTTCGTCGCCGTTTTTTGACCGGTGTCGGCTCCGGTTCCAATCCTGGAGCTGTTTTTTTGCCGTTCACCGTTTTTTGGCCGTTTCCATGTTCAAGGGGCACTTTTTGGAAACGGTGAAAAAACGGCCCTGCCGTTTCCGGGGCCCACGAAGGTCTTGAAGTCGAGCACATCCTCATCCTTCTACAGGAGGCTTATTCAACGAACCGTGTAGGGACGATTATGTCTGCTCTTTTTGAATATTTGTGAGCACTTTTATTTGCCATTTTCGTCCAAAACCTGCCTGTAGGTGACATGCCCGACTTCAATCTACTCGCAAGGCACAGCTTATCGCCAGGACTGCCGCCGCGACACGCTATCCAAGAGTTCCTGGCCGTAGATTAGGTGCGTTCGAGCCGACGCAGGCCGCGAGAGCCCGAGAGGGAGCACAGAAGAACAGCGGAGTGTTGGTACGAGCGGGGGTGGGGGCTGGTGAGAAAACGAAGGTTCCTCGTTCTCCCCCTCCTCCTCCTGCTTCTCCTCCTCCTCCCTATCCTCCTCCACCTCGTCCTCCTTCTCCTCCCTCCTCTCCTCCTCCTTCTCCTCCTGCTCCTCCTGCTCCTCCTCCTCCTCCCTCCTTCTCCTCCTCCTCCTCCTCCTCCCCCTGTTCATCGCCCAAGTGGTTTGGCATACAGTCAATGAATGCGTGCCGAGCGAGTGGAAGCATGGGTCAGCGAGTAATCGAAATAATGAACGGATTGAAGTTTGTCGTTCTTTGTGTTCTCTCCGCCCTCCGCCACTCCCGCCTCTCTCCTCTGCTCCTCCTCGTCCTCCTCTCCCACCAGCCGCCCGCCCAGGTTTCCCGTGCCAGACTCCAGCGACCTTATTTGCAAGTCCGTGGATGCATCAAACGTGATGCCTGAAGGAGGCGCAGCCCTCGACCATTTTGGCGCACCGCTTCCATGCCAGACACCAGCGACCTTACTTGCAAGTCCGTGGATGCATCGAGCGTGATGCCTGAGGCGCAGCCCTCGACCATTTTGGCGCAGGGCTGCGACCTGGACCCCGTCCGAATTCGTAACTAAGGAACCGTAGTCGCGCCGCGGGCGCGTTCCATATCAAGGCCCGGCGTGCGCCGAGCGCCGCCCAGCTATCGGGGGAGGGGCAGGCTTGGGCGAGGCGCCGCTCTCCAGCTCTTGGGGGAGGACTTGCTGAGGCATCGGAGGCCCTCCTCCGAGGAGGAGCAGGGCCCAACCCCGCTGCGCTTCCCTCGCTCTCGCCCCTCACTGGGCCTCAGGGGAAGCCCTCGTCGTCGCCTTGAAGTCCTGGTCAGAAAGCACCAGGGGAGAGGTCTGGGGAAAAGCGGTATCAGTACGATGTTATCCCCCTCCTGCTCTTCCTCCTTCTTCTCCTCCTCCTCCTCCTCCTCCTCCTCCTCCTCCTCCTCCCTCTCCTCCCCCTTCTTCCTCCTCCTCCTCCTCCTCCTCCTCCTCCTCCTCCTCCTCCTCCTCCTCCTCCTCTTCCCCTTCCTTCTCCTCCTGCATCCCGTTCTCCTACTCCTCCTCCTCCTCCTCCTCCTCCTCCTCCCCCTCCTCCTCCTCCTCCTCCTCCTCCTCCTCCTCCTCCTCCTCTTCTTCCGCCCTTGTGCAGGGCCGCCGGTGTCGCAGTTGGCCCTGCCCCGACCCTGCCGAACGGCCGCGCGCCCCCGAGGGAGGGCAGAGGGAAGGGAGGACGAGAGGACAGGAGGGAGAAAGGGAGGAGGATCGAGGGATGGAGGAGGGAAGGAGGGAGGGAGGGAAGGAGGCAGGACGGCAGGGAGGGAGGGAGGACGAGAGGGGGAGTGAGGGCCGCAGGGGCATCGAGGGAGGCGGGAGCGGGAAGGAGGGGAGGAGGGGATCGGGGGGACATCGCGGCAGGAGCAGCGACGCACAAGGCGACGGAGGCGCAGCTAGCCTCCTGGCGGAGGCGGTCGGGCGAGTGGCCATCGGTCAAGCAGTGGCGGAGCGTCCTGGCTCGCCTATAGCCCTACCGAACAATGTTCTCAGAACCTTTTTGTGGTTCCCACGAAATGTTCTCAGAACATTTCTGGTTGAGACTGTCTTGTTTTAACACATCGGATTCATGTTCTAGGAACATTGTTTTTTGTTCTTAGAACATTTTGGGGCTCTAAGAACATTTCGTGGTAGGACTACAGGAATGCCAGGACGGTCGGTCCCTGCTCAAATCGGGGGTGATCCAGATGTTGAGGAGGTCCACCTCCCAGGAGGCCCCGTTCGGGACAGCAACGCAAGCGAGGCGCGGCAGGTCAGACGCTCCCCTCGAGAGCGCGCCGCCGTGGATCCCAGCAGCCTGCCTTGGGGATGGAGAACAGGGCCCTCCGGGGGCCCCTGCTGGGGCCCCTGCTGGCTCCAGAGGGCCCGTGTAGGGCAGATGGGGGGGAGTGTCGAGGGCTTCTCCGAAGGGCTTTGGCGACCCGTCCTCCTCATCCCTCCCTCCTCCTCCTCCTCCTCCTCCTCCTCCTCCTCCTCCTCCTCCTCTCCTCCTCCTCTCCTCCTCCTCCTCCTCCTCCTTCTCCTCCCCCCCCTTCAGGACCCTTTTCTTCCCCCCCCCCCCTCCCTCTCGTTTGGGTCACCCCCGCTGCCACCCGCCTGATCTCAGTCGCTCCAGGAAGGCCCCCAGACCGAGCATCTGACACCCAGGTTGGGAGGCCAAGAAAGGGGCCCTAGAGGAGCCCTTTCTGCACCAGGGGTGCACCTAAACGGTGTTTTGGCGATTTCGTGGGCCGTTTTCGTTTCGAGTTCGTTTTGCGGTACAGGCGGATTGAAGACAAAACGAGGGAAAACGAAAGCAAAACGAAAACGAAAAACACCGTCTAGGTTAAGCCCTGTTCTGCACCTCCCATTGGAGGCATTCCAGAAAGGGCTTCGCCTTCGAGGATCGAAGGAGTTGTCATCTCTTCCGCGGCGGAAGCCGGCGGAAGGGCAGCGGAAGGTCGGCGCGGAAGTAAATCGAGGCCGCCTCCGCCTGCGGAATCCGGCGGAAGGACGGCGGAGAGCGGCGGGGGTAAAAACTGCGCCCCCAAGAGATGGACACGTTTTTGGGTTCAGGGTTTTCGGAATCGGACATTCGGGTCACCCCGCCCGACTCCCCCGCCCCATCGTTCGTCTGGCGCTCCGCCGAGCGCTCCGACCGGCGGTCGATCGCACCTGGAGTGCGTCGGGCGCGGCGCTCGCCTCGGTGGCCGCGCCCGGCGTTCTCGTCGGGTGCGGCGCTCGCTCCGGGAAAGGCCGGGGTGGAGGAGCAGGAGCACGAGGCTGCGCAGGAGGGAGGCGGAGATCGAGAGGGGGAGGGGGATCCTCCTCCTCCTCCTCCTCCTCCTCCTCCTCCTCCTCCTCCTCCTCAAGAGGTTCAATGTGTGTCGCGCTTCGCTAAGTCGGAGTCCTGGATTGGCTTCGCTACCGGAAGAACGCAACAGCCTTGACGCTTTATGTATGGTCAACGTCCAAAAGGGGAGAAACGGGGGGAGGAGGGGGGCGAGGGGAGGACCAGGAGGGGCAGAACGAGTGGGGGCAGGAGGAGGCGGAGGAGGCGGGGGAGGGGAGAGAGAGGGATAGGAGGGGAGGGGAGGGGAGGGGAGGGGAGGGGAGGGAAGGAGGAGGAGAGGAGCTGGACGAGGAAGAGGAGGAGAAGGAGGAGGAGGAGGAGGAGGAGGAGCAGGACGAGGAGGAGGAGGAGGAGGAGGAGGAGGAGGAGGAGGAGGCGGAGGATGCGGAAGGGGGAGTGTGCGGAGCGCGAGCCGTTCGCGGGGAGGGAGACGCCCTCGGTCCCGCGCCCAGTCCTGACCTCCCCCGCCTTCTTGTGCCGGTGGAGGCGTCCTCGGCTCGGGCCCCCCCCCCTGGCTCCGAAAGCCGCTGCACCCTCGCGGTTTGTCCCCATCCTCTCTTCTTCCTCCTTCTCCTCTTCCTCCTCTTCTCCTCTCCTCTCTCCCTCCCTCCCTCCCTCCTCCTCCTTCCACCTCTCTCGCTCACACTCCTCTCCCTCCCTCCTCCTCCTCCTCCCTCTCCTTCTCCCCGCCTCCTCCTCCTCCTCCTCTTCCTCCTCCTCCTCCTGCTCCCACTCCCATTCCCTCCCTTCGCCTCACTTCCCCCCCCATCCTCCCTTCTTCTCTCGCTCTCTGTCCTCCTCTATCCTCCTCCTCCCCTTCCTCCTTTCACGCGAACAGCTTGGTGCAGTGAAAGACGCACAGGCTACTATACCCAACGGGCACTCTTTACTTTCTCCTCAGCCTAACGCTGCTCTTCCCTACATGTGGCTAAAATCAGGAGTCCGGCCTTGAGCATCGTGAGACGTATAGAACCCCTCGTGGTGTTGGCGATCCTTCCCTCATCCTTCTTACCATCACTTCCCCCCTCGCCCAGCGACCTTTCCTCCTGGTCTGCGTCCTCCGTCCTCCGCCCCAGCCTCCCACCATACCCAGATATCCGACGTCGTGATTTAGATCACACCATGGCCCCCCAGGCTTTGCATCCTGAGTTGTTGTTGGACGCTCCTGGGACCCCCAGAGGTCCCCTCCCGGGACTAATTTCTCATCCTGAGTGGGTTTCTGACGTGGCAGAAGGCCCTCAGAGCCCGAGAAAGTTGTCAAGCATTGTCCGCAGTGATGTTTTGTCCCGCCGCGAGCGTCGGGGGCCCACAAAAAATCCGCGTGGTGACAACACCGCGTGAAGAGTCAGTGGGGACTCGGGGTCGCCGCCCTGTTTTGGGACTCGGCTCGTTTTCCGAGGACCCCTCTCTAGGCTTCCTAGATGGGGTCGGAGTAGATGGGGTCGGAGGATCGCGCCGCATCGCCGATGCATCGGCGATGCGGCTCGATACGGAGCCCGATTTGTTCCACGCCGACGTCGCCGATGCGCCGCCAACATCGGCGATGCATTGGCGATGCAACGCGATCCTCCGACCCCATCTGCTCGGACCCCATCTAGGTGGCCTCTACCCTCGGCCGACCCTGCGGTGACGGACCGCGCGGTAGGGTCTGGGATTTCGAGGTCACCACACGGTCTTGGTCGGACGGGGCTGAGACGAGGATAGATCCGTTCCAGAGCGTTCCGGAACGCTCTTAGAGCGTTCCAGAACGCTCTGAGAAGGCCGCGGCGCCCGAGACATGCTCCAGAGCCGCCGGCTCTCAGAGATCCTCGATTGATCCTCGCCCGAGTGTCTCCTCGTCCTGGCTTCGTTGTACTTGGGGCCCCCGGAGGAGGAGGCGGGGAGGAGGGAGGAGGAGGAGGAGGAGGAGGAGGAGGAGGAGGAGGAGGACGAGGAGGACGAGGAGGACCAGTGTAAACACCCAAGGGTCACCAACGATGTTGGATTCACCATCCCTCCAAGCTCCCTCTTCATGGGCCCCCACAACGGTTCATTTCCATTGCAGGAACTGCCCCGTGGAAGACAACCCTTTGAAGACCTTGAATCATGCCAGAACATTGTTCTCGGGATTTCAACGCCACGGGTCAACCTGACCGCTGCGTTCTGGCGATCTTGAATCTTGCCGGAACACCTTCTTCTGGATTTCAACACCGCGAATCAACATAATTGTTGCATCCGCATCATCCTGAATCTTTCCCGAAAACGATTTCTGGTACGCTGATCATCGGAATTTGTGAAACTCTTGGCATTTTTGAAATGTATGTACGCGGCGCTAAGGCGAGAGCCGCATCTTGAAAAGGAACCGCTCTCGAGCCGTGAAACTCCTGCAAATTTAAAAACGAATGTGCGCGGCGCTACGGCGAGAGCTATATGTTGAAAACCACCCGCCCTCAAGCCGTGAAACTCTTGCAAATGTTTAAAATGAATGTGTGCGGAGCTGAGGCGAGAGCCACATTTCGAAAACCACCTGCCCTCAAGCCGTGAAATTCTTGC